GAGGCGGAGCTGCCCCCGCCGCGCTCCTGCTCCGCCGCTGGTCTCTGTTCTGAGCCCCCCCTGCAGCCCACCCGGAGCCCCGCGGCCTTTCCGGGCTTGCTCCCCCGAGCAGGGGCCAAACAGCACCCGACCCGGGCCCCTGGCAGGGAGATGGCACCGGGCAAAATCTAATTTGCATTTTAACCCGTAAAAGGCTTTACAGCGCAGAAACGTTTCTCCAAAGCGAGGTGACGTGCCTTAGTGCTGCAGTGGCTTTACTGTAACAGATTCCACCACCTACTATGAAAGACCATAACCAGTTCCTGTACATTTAATGCTTCTTGTTACAGCAATACCAAAAAAAACCCAAAAAAAAACCAAAAAGCAAAGCCAGAGGTCATGAACCAGCTTGAGGAAACTCCTGTGTCTTCTGAAGTCACAGTACAGGTCTTCTGCAGCTATAGAAATACTTCTAAGCCCAAGCATAGGCCAGGGGTTGAGCTGTATGTGCCACACCACTGCTTCTTGAACCTTGGGAAGGTTTATTTTCCCCTACAGCTATGAAGATAGATGACTTTATGCATGAGAGTACCACGGGCAGTTTCTCTCTCTAGCATTTACATTTATACAAATTAAAGGCTGTGGCTGTACAGACAATCTGTATCTTGGTCCCAGTCTGCATCTGTCTGTAAGCAGGTATGCTTACTTATTATGCATTACTGTAAGGATGTTAATTAGAAAACACTCTGAGGATAAAGCCTAATACAGACCCATTTTTAATATATACCCACAATGTACCTGCATGCTGCAGTGTATCTATTTGTGTATCAGGTGTTCGTGACATGTATGATCAAAAACCTACATCATTTCCAAGCATGAATCACAGTTTCCAATGTTATTTTTTGATCTTTACTCAGACTGCAAAATCCAAATGTTACAATTTCTGGAAGAGTTTCTTTGTATGTAATGCTCCAAGCCGGGCAGCAGACAGTAACATATGGCACTTCAATCAAGTAAATTACATCTGGGTTACAAGCGGAAAAAAACCCAGATCGGAAGTTCTTAGCAGTAAATGAATGGTAGGGTGCAGTGATTCATTTCAGGGCCATCATTTCACAATCCCTCACATCCTCTTCCTGGGAATTACTATTCCACAAACTAAATTATTTTTATGGCCAGTCCCAAGTGCTGACTATCTCTCCTTTAGCAACTGTTCTAGTACCATGTTTTTGAAATCACTACAGTTAAAAGTAGTAACAATATCCTTATCAATACCTATTCTATCATTATAGTTGTATTTCTATACTGAAATATATTTCCCTCAAATTCCAGTTAAACTGGGCCTAGCCCCTTTCACATTAACAGCAATATTTCTTCTCCAAGAGGTTGTATGACTTAACTGTTTTGACAAGTATTAATTGATAGTTGAACTAGAATAAAACAGTTCATAGACCAGGCAAGACACATTCCCTCCTTCCCTCTCACTCACAAGTACCCTCAGGACTTTGTCATCCCCAGGAAAAATCAGAGAACAGCAACACAAGTTCTGCTTAGTACCCTCTTTGCAGGCGCC